TGAATTTAAACGAGCAAAGTCTATCCAACATATGAAGTTGTCGCTACACAACGACATTAAAGTTTTAGTCCAATTCGTGTCAGATATATGTTCGGTGATTTGTGATTGTCTGCCAGGGCGTAAACGCTTTTATACTTCTTATTATTTTTCCAACTTCTTATTATTTTTCCAACTTCTTATTATTTTTCTAATGAATACAAAGGCTCTAGTTTTTAGGGTTCACAAATGAAAACGCTTACTTTGCACTATAAAGTTCAAATGAGTATTGAATTGAGATGTAAAAATTGAATAGACTATATGTATCTACCACACTTTGGTTCTTTTCTAATCAGCTAAGGTGAAAATATTTAGTTGTGAAGTCGTACCAAGAAGATGTTGAATTTGAAATCGAAGTCCCAAACCAAAAAAAGAGGATCTTTGAAATTTTAATCAATTTTAAAACCTTTTTGTTATTTTTTCGCTTTTATTGTATATGCACACCAAACAGTGACTTTTTGAGGATGTAAGGGCGCCTGAACAATTGCTTCTTGCTTATCATCCCTCCAAATGAGACAAATTTGTTTAACCAACATATCGATCGTACCACCATTCAACCAAAAGTGAGCTTCATCGCTGAAGAAAATTGCATTGTGAACTAGCGACATGCTTGATGGTCGTTCGGCTTCAGTTCTTATACGATTTGGATTTTGTAAAACCGCAAACCCAAAACCGTCCGCAAAATCTTCCAAAAAATGGATGCGCACAGCTCCAATTGTTGCGCGCCGGATGGACTCATTCGGGTCTTCTTCGATACTGTGCTCCACAGTAACAATAGCATCCACAGTGAACACTGGGCGGCGTCTTTGAGGATGCGCATTTTCCACTAGAGTAAACGTGGTGCGAAAACGATCCAAGATTGCTCGAATTACCCGCTGCTGGACGATTGTGTCTACCGAATATTGGAACCGAACCATTAGTTTGGTAATAAATGTTCATGATATGCAAACGTTGTTCCGAAGTAAGTCTGTTCGTTATGAAATGGCAAACCAAACTGAGTATAAATCAAGAAACTGCTGTCAAAAAGACCAACTCCGCAAAATGAATTGCTTCATTAAAAATCGCATGTAAAAAAACACCCACTTGAAGGCGTTTAGCGTTTCGAATTAGCCACTTGTTTAATTTTAATATAGTTTTTAGAGTTTCAAAGAATTTCATTCATTATTTTGTGAGAAAATTTGGCATTACACAAAAAACTAAATCAAAGTAGCCATATGTCCATAATCACCGCTCGTAATACAGCTAAATTTTATAGAACGTAATTAATACTATAAGGAAACTTGCTACCCCATTCATGTTGCAACTTATGAATGAAGTGTCCAAGGATTTTCGGCATTTAGTTACACACACAAAGTGAATAGTCAGCGAACAAGCGCATCAAAACAAAAATCAATCAAACAACAGACGCGTAAACAACAAATGTAAGGTGCAACAGCTGTTGATCACCATTACCAAAAAAAAAAAGACAAAATGCAAGAGCATGACACCAAAAAAATCACAGGGCGCTGAAATATCGATGAGAACCTGTGCGCGCACGCAAAGGTACTTCGAGAACCTGCCACAACCACTACCACCACCACCACCAGCACCAACACCAGCAGCAGCGCCAGCAGTCGCATGCTGCGCAAACAATCTTATTATGAATAATAGGGAATCTGCATGTCGAGCCAGATTGAGCCGCTACACACATGTGTGTATATGTTCAAGTGTGTGTTGTACTTGTAAGCGCGCGCGTTTGCCGAGTGGCAGGTGACTTCTGTGTAGGGGGCAATCGAGTGATCAGAGTGCGATCAGTGCGCACGGTGGGAAAGCAGGGAGAAAAGTTTCTCACGATCCTGACACACATAGCTGAAACTCCCCTAACCAAAACCGAACCGCACCAAATGACAGCAGTGAGCAATGTGCACAAACATATCGATCGTACCAGCATACTTACAAATAGCTACATATGCATAGTGGAAGTACATATGTATGTATATGCGGCGAAATAAGCACGCATTTCTTCACATGTTCATTTATTTACACTGCTGAGCAAAAATACAACATCAGCAGCAGCTGATTGCATCTGACACCATAGACTATAGTATCAGACTGTACAAACATCGGTAATTTTACAATATTGCTCGCTATCATACTCCTTCAAATATCCCACCAAATTTTTACAAAGCTACTTCCATCAAAAATGGGTCAGTCATATCCACCTTCTGGCACGTTACAATAATTTTGTTGCATAGTAGAGAATAAACACGTTCTTCGTGCTGGAGATAGTATATTTTAGTACCAACCTATCAAATAATAGTAGCTTGGAAGTTGCTGCCGTTGGCATAAGGAGAAGTTCAGATCATTTTATGAAAAACATTCTTAAACTCCATATTTTCATGGGTTATGTTCCTTGTCCTTATGCCAAATTTGGAAAGGTGTCGTCTTTGCGATTTTCGACATGGAAACATATTCCTGTTAAGTGACTTCAAACCCAATTGGCATTAAACATAATAATATTACTGAACTAGATAGATCCGTGGGAAACCAAGCTATCGAAATTCTATCAGTCCAGAAGAAACAGAAGCTGATACATTTTCAACTCGTTAGATAACCATCAGGCTTTTTGTGTAGAGCATTGTGAAGGATACGTTTTGAGCAGCAACTGTTTTAAGAGATATAAGAATCACCTTAAAGAACTACTGCCGCCCCTTACTAAAATTGATCAAGAGAACCATGCCTAGATTATAAAAGACTCAAAAATTCTGTTGTTCTATGGAAACTTCTTTATATTATATATGAATCTGATATTATAGCTCCGGTACAACCGAAGTTAACGTTCTTGTTTTTTCTCTTGTTTTCTCTAACATCACACCTCGAGAGAAAGAGATAAAACACAGATTATATCTCCAACCGTGTACAACCGAGCGATAAATATTCATCAGTGTTTCAGAAAAAGTTTAATTCATTTATCCGATCATAACAGAAAGTACGCAATAAGAGGAGGAAATCGAATTATATACCATATATTACAATTTTCCTCAGCAGTGTATAATTGAACTCAGTTCAAGGGTGATATTGTTGTTACAGTTCTTTTGCTTAATATAAACACTATGATGAACGTGCTCATCATCATTACAATGCGTCACACAGTGGATCTCGGCTTGCTTGTTGGTGGCATTTATTACTGTTATTGTTGTTGTTGATTTTCTTCTCATTGCACGCGATGCAGTGCAATTTCTTCTGCGAGAGCTGACAGGAAATGAAACATAACGACAGAAATTCCACCAACAGCCACCACTGCCCGTATGTACATATGTAAGTATGGATGCAGTCAAAGGTCCGAAACTGCCGTACACGGACCAGTGCCGTTATGCCTTACTTTGGCTCTAAGGCAACGAGCAACACAATAAAGTGGTGTATTGTAAATGCTGATTATGGTATCCCTTCCGACGCACGCATGCAAGCACGCAAGCAAGCATTGCACACGCTGGCGACGTACCGTACTGGGGAAAAACACGAGCTCGAGCGTGTGACTATTTGGTGGTGGATCGGCTTGCTGGCTGGCTGGCTGTGTGTCGTACGCAAGAAAGAAGTCAGTGAGCCGAGTGCCAAAGGAGCGAGCAAAGAGCATCGTGTGTGTTTGTCAAAGGTCGTCGTGATCTCGCACGAGCGTTATACTCGTACCAAGTTGTTGGGGTGAGCTGTGCTCTAGATACTTTCGAGCAATGTGTTAAGTGCACTGAAAAAAATAAATAAAAATAAATATGGTTTGCTTGCTGTTTTGGACCGCCTGTATTATTTGTTAGTTAGCAGATATTCTATTTGAGTTTGAGTCTCGATATAATACGACCAATTTCGGATTTACATCTCTTCCAAATTATTTTCTCTGAAGAATAATTGTCTCATATGTGAAACCGCTTTTTTGAACTTATGATCAACCGAGTTAAGAAAATTGGAAGAATTTTTTATGGCGAGCGTAAGGTATCTTTGAACTTAAACAAAGCAAAAGTCGATATGGAATACTTTGTAATTAATGTCATCTGAGTTACTCATTGAATTTTTCAACGATCTTCTGCCACACTGTTATTAGGATCCGATGGTAGCCATGACTATGTTGGAAACTGTGCAATCGAGTCAAGCGTGTCAACGGCAGCAGCTCTATCAAGTGGTCTGGGATTGCAATTGATCCTAATCAATAACATTATCATAATGTCAGTTTCGACTATGACTCCTGGTTCGCCGAAGTTATGACTGCCAAGATGTTTCAACCCAAATCTTGTAAAAGTCGGACAATAGAGGATGGTGTTTTTACCACACCTTCTTCCATACAAACTTTGATATTTGTTTTCTGACTGTTTTTTTAGTCTTACAGCAAGAATGCCTATTGGACAATGTCCAGTAAGAACTCCTACCTAATAGTAGTCTAAAGCAAAGATCTTCGCTTTTAGATATTGACTCGAGTTATTCGTAAGCGTTAGCTAATGACTTTCTTTCAAGGAAACAAGGTTAGAATACCGTGTGCTGACTAAGAATATAAATAAAAAGGTGAGTTTAATTGCTGATTGGAACTAGAATAGTAATTTAAGTTACACTTTCCACATATCTACTAAAATATTTCACAGCGTACTTTCTTCCAATAATGTCGCTCTTCGTCGCCGTGAAGGGCGCACCCTAAGCTCAGCCACAAATATACAATATATCCAAGCACACAAAGGTAAGGTAACGCACGAGAGCACAGCAAGCGAAGATCAACCACCAGAGCACAGACAAAGGCATAGAGGGCTGCTGGTATGCGCTATGCTTGAAGGCGCTGAAGACGCACGTCTGCCGCTCGCACACCAACCGAACCGATCGTGTACGAAACGAGCGCAATGCCGCAACATACAATTCGAATCAGAGCTAACGGCCAACAGTGAAGGAACGTAAGTGGCGAGGGAGCCACACCAAGCAACAACAGGTTGTGAACATAGAGAATTATTAAAAGTGCGAAGCTGGTGTTACTTTAAGGGTGGCAGCGGCCAAGCAGCGCACATGCGCGCACACTTTATGAGGTGCACAATTGTGTGGACCGAGCGCAAGGCTACAAAAGGATGGTCATACCTTGCGTTTGCATCATTTCTCAAACAGCTACCGTGCGGTAAACACTTGACACACTCGCCATACTACCGACTACGATCGAACACACTTGGCTCTGTCGGTGCGAAAACTTGAAAACATTTACGTGAAATAATTTTAATGTGAAAACCTGTTCGTTACTAGTGCTTTAAACAAGTATACGTATATACTTACACACATAGTGCGCGTACACTTGTTCTGCAACTTTAAGACGCTTAGCGCGCACTTGCAAATCTCCACAATAATTAAATACAACATGGCTGTGGACGGGCAACGTTTCATGACCAAGACACAACACTATCGTAAGGTCACCAAACCACTACTGGAGCGGAAGCGACGTGCGCGCATGAATCTCTATTTGGACGAATTAAAAGATCTCATTGTGGACACAATGGAAGCGCAAGGCGAACATATCGCCAAACTAGAGAAGGCCGACATTCTCGAGCTCACCGTCAACTATTTACGTACACATAAACATGAAATCGCCGCAAGCGTTGCACAGCATCAAACCGGCGGCAGTACAGCTGGACGTAGCATAAATGTAGAGAAATTCCGCGCTGGCTATACGCACGCCGCCTACGAAGTGTCGCGTGTGTTTGCCACAGTGCCGGGTCTGGATGCGAAATTCGGCACAAAACTCATGAAACACTTGGGTTATCAGCTGAAGGACTTGCAACAGTCAACACCAGCGCCAACTGCTGTTGCTAGTGAAGAAGCGCTCAATTTGGAGGTCGTCAAACGCGCGGCGTCAGCATCACCCACCGTTTCTCAGCATGCTGATGAACATATGAGGCGCGTTTATCAACAACAACAACAATTACAAATGTGCGGTAATTTGCAGCACTTGAAAGACTTGCATGACGACGAGCAACACGGCGAATGTTTGTGGCGCCCCTGGTAGTACCATTTGCAACAATGCGCAACTTGCGACATGCGAGCACTTCGGAATTTTCAAAGAGCTTTGTTTTTAAACATTCACCAGCCAGTGGCTTTAATAGTTTTAAGTGTTTGTAGTGGTTTAAGTAATATGAAATAATTTTTGTAAACTATTTTATGTGTATATGTATATGTAAGTGTGTATGTGCATACATATGTATTGCATTAGTTTAGGAAATATCAGCTTTATTGTTTTACGTACAAATTGTCAGCCTTTTATAGTTGTATTAATGTGATTTGCCTGTGATAGCCGCCAACTCCACTCAGTTAGCGATTGGTCTGTTCGTAAACCGATCTCCATAACTCTTCACGTACTTCCAAGTATATTAAAAATAAGTTATATAACATATAGTTTTCTAGTAATTATTTATAAGTGATTTAAAGCTTTCAGTATGTAAATTTTTCTCATTTTATTCTAATCTAATTATAAAGTACTTTTTCACTTATATATATATATAATAATGTTCACATATAACATATCATATTATGCATTTTATGTAATCTTAAGTTGCGCTTCCAAACATTTGTATATTTCGCTTTGATAAATTATTGGTCCAATTGCTTTAAATTTATTCCTTACAAAATAATTTTATTGAATATATATGTATATCTAGAGTTCACTGTAGCATTAAGTGCATGTCTAATAAATATAATATTTACAAAATGAATTAAAAGAGTTTTGAACAAAAACAATTCTTTATTCGGAGCTTCCATTGATATCAGCCGTACTTTTACAACCGAGTCGATAGCTAAAAGATTGAAATCGGAACGATCATCCCGCTGAAACTTCAAAAATCTGTGAGTAAAAAAACGCGATATATTTAACTCATAGAGACTGACGAAGAAGATGGAAAAACGCTCGTGTAATTTCACATTGGGAGCATCCACTATTTTCCGACGATCTTTTTTAATCGATCCTACATACATATCTCTAGTAGAGAGATCGAAATCGAGACAGCCGACTAGGGCGAGATATTCAACTCTTTGACTCGTAAGCATTTTTGAACGAAGCCAGTAAATTCTTACTGAGAACTAGGGATCGTGCAAGAGCAAACAGTCGAAGATTTTAAGGCTAATTAACAAGGGTTGTAAAGTTGGTTGGCGGACTGGCCTCCAGTGTATTTATACTGAAGGCAACAACAAAAAATTAATCAACAAATGTGTTCTTCAAAGGAAGTGACGTTGAAAATTTACTCAAGCGGGGATCCACTACCACAGGGTTATTTCAAATATAAATATAATAATTCATCAAAATAAAAGGCAGTATAGATGGGCAAGATATTAGAAACGATGTGAGTAAAAGGAGAAAAGTATATGTTTACCCCATGTAGATCCCAAGATCTAAAAAAAGTAATAGTAAACAAGAGAGCGGAGAATGCTCTGTATATTGTCTAAAAATTTCCTTCTAAAACTGACAGATAGCTCACTGAGAGATAGTAACATAACATAATATGAACATTTTTAATTTCACGTCATTTCACGTAAGGAATCAAGATAAATCTTGGGTTCCTCATAAATGTGGTGTAACTTGTGTGAAACTGCTATTAGGTTCGGCTAAACAAGAATCTAGAAATATGCAATTTGCTATGCCTATGCCTATGCTATGCCCTATGATATTAACCAAACCAAACCAAATCCAAACACACTACCCAGTATCCAAACTTGTCTTCGACCAATAGATCCATCCTACATAGTGCCGACTGCTTGCGTTAAACCCTCTAAATCGATCAGAAACTCAGCATCTGACAAAAGAAATTGCCCAAATTTTATGAGACAAAAATTAATCCCCTATTTAAAGGGTCACACTTTCTTTGTAGGGTCACAAATACAACTGATGCAACTGATAAAGGATAAAGGATAAAGGATAAGAGCGTTGAAGAAAAACTAAATGATCAGGAAAAACACGCCTGGAAATGTTTTTTGAACGTTGTCCAAAATTTTCTAGGAAAACATAAATCGGAAAATTACAAAAGCTTAATAAATGAACTTATAATGCCATTTAATGCTTTGTAATATGTCTTTAAAAATACATATATATACTCGACTCTTCTCTGGAATTCTTTCCGGCAAATTCCGGTGCTGTGAATAACGAAAAAAGCGAGAGGTTTATCGGGACATTTCCTAACTGTAGAAGCGATATCAAGGATTTGCAAGCAGATTATTGTAGGAGATTTAGAAAGACCTTCCAGAAGCCAAATGTTTACGAAAATCATAATTATGTTTTCTACTAAATGTAACGGATGTTTGTACTTTTTAAGAAAATATGTATGTATATGTGTTAATGACACAAGAAAACCTGAGCTGTACATTTTTTTTTCATCAATCATCAATCAATCAAAATTTGTTATAAGCTTTCATGTGGCAAAAAAAGTTCAAATTTTGTTAAGCAGTGTATTTTATTCTAGAACAAGCTATGGCATTGGTTATTATTTTTTTTCAATTGTTATATGAAGAGCAAAAGCGAAATCTGACAGCTGATTGTATTATCATAGATAGATAACTATAAGCGAGACTGCAGTAATAAACATTTTTGATCGACATTAATTACATCGCATTCTGTTATCGATCCAACATCGTCCATCATCATCGCGAATACTAAGATGCGATTACGTTAAGCGTTGCATAAAAATTGTAGATATTTCGTATTTGACTACCGAAGATGTATGAGCATGCATTTGCCTGAGCAGTTCTATAGCTGGAATATTAAACTCAGTAACATATTGAAAAAAGCAAACATGGTGAAGTCACTCTATTTGAAAATTAATTTGATTCCATAAGGTTATGTTTGGTCCTTTGAAAGAACTTCAGTTCGGAATGAGTGTACTATTTCTTGGTGAACATTGGCGAGATGCATTTTTCTAAGCAGTGACAGACAAATGTCATAAGAACTTTTGATACCGCCGATTATGAAATTCGCAACCATATTTATATACGTTATCTTAACGAATTTCATAAAGTAGAACTTAGCGGCAATTGAAAAGTAAACGGAGAACCTTTTGATCTTTCTCTAAAGTTATCATCGCTGAGCGCATGAAAATATTTGATTGGTTAATGAAGTTAAAATAAATTATTTAGGCTATTTTCAATTTGTCAGGGCAACTTTTATAGCTCTTAACCAAAATTGAAGTTTTTGTCTAAACAGATACACATAATGTGCTATAAAGCCTCCATATTATATATGAATGTAGATATGCATATAACACCATCACGACATAATTTCTGGAGCCTTTTCAAGATTGAGCGATAATATTTCTGAACATAAACTACATAAAACCATTATTATATATCTTATGAAATATACTCGTATACATAAGAAAAAAATGTAAATATACAAAAACTAAAAAATATAGGCGCACAAGATCTATACAAAGACACAAAATAAATTAAACGGCTTGCGCAACCCCAAATAACCCCAACATGTGTCCTACGCGCGCCTCATACTACAAAAGCTCCAATATTCCCATGAAACAATTTCTTCGGTTCTTTCAAGTTAACACGCCACACGCGTTTAAAAGTCTGTAAGGTCAAACTACAAAGTACCGCAGCGCAAGCGCCTAGCGTACAGCGTACTCGCCCTAAAACTAAGTAATTATATTTGCATTTTAATTGAAAATCATTACAATGCCAACATGAGCACCGTCAGTGTCAACGGCAAAGCAAAGTCAGCCACGCATGCGCAGCACACACGTCCAAGCAGAGCGCATACATGAAATATTTAAGCATGAGTACGCGGCAAGAAAACAAGTGCGCTCGCGTGCACACGTCGACCAACGAGTGCAAAGCAACAAAAAGCGCTAACAGAAACTGACTGCGCATAAATGCAGCCAACGGCAAGATGAGACAAAGCACCCAATTGGCAGGCAGGAAGTCGTTATGATACTCATACACACTGTTCGCCGCTAAAACGTTACGATATGCCAACAGCAACAACAACAGCACGCACATACCTTTTCACTTTCGTAGCTCTAGCTACCGCTATGCATACACGCCGAGTTAATGCTAACGACCCATTGCCGCTGCAACCGTGGGAACGCTTTCCCACATTACGATTGATTCCATTAACGCACAGTTGCGCTGAAAAAATTATCTACAACAACAGTGAAGCAACTGTTGTGCACTTTAAAGGAATTCCCTGTCTCACTGCGCTTTCTTCGCTTTTTTTTCCTGCAATACAATGCGCTGATATCATTTCAATTAAAATGCAGTGTTTTGTCTTCTCTTCTACTTTCCATGCCTACAATTGCTGCTCCTTACGTGCAACAGGATACAACGATTAAGGATTATTCCACACAAGCAATGCACAGTATATTATATTAAAATCGGAATCAGAGAAATGTTAACGGCAGTAGCACAACACAGCTGCGACGTTTCAACTCATTACAGTCGTACAGAGCGCAGCTTCGTACAGCTCAGTGCACGCCAGCCGTCCTGCACAGCCGTAGAGACCGCATAACGGACGACCAGATTGCAAAATTCCCATGCTTTGCTCGAAACACCCGACTTAACACGACCCGGCTGGCTGCATAGCAATTTAACCGCATACTCTGTAAGGGTGTACGTGTGCGCCCTTATTCATATCCTTGCTCACCTCGCCGTTTGCTCACTGGCTGATGGGCTGACTGGCATATTGTCCGGCTGTCTTCTGGCTGCATGCGCAGGTGAGCACATACGACGTGTGAGAAACTTACAAGGAACGTAGTTCCCACGGTTTGGAGCGATCAAAGATCCTGTGTCTTTACATGTATTGTGAAATTTGATTTCCTCCCCTATAAACCGAGCGTTTGAATGCCATGAACAAACAGCAGAAGGGTGACTTGCAAGACACAAGCATACAAAATGAATAGACATGCAAAGGAATGGGCAGTTTGGCAGCGAGAATGTGACGAAGGTAGGGTAAGGGGTGGGCATCTGTGTGCTGGCATGCAAGCGACGAAGCGTCGAGGATAAGAAAATAGAGGGTTGATTTTGACGTGAGCGCACAGTAAACACAACAACAAACACGCACGTCAAGACCACAAAGGACGTGGCGAAGTGAGCGTAAGTCTCTCAGCGACTCTAGCTTACGTGTCTTTATTCTACGGCAACGGAGTCTTATGAGGGTTGTGCTCGCCAGAGTTAGCGCTCATTCCCACATTACTGTACACGTAGTGTGAGTATAAAAGTCTGTAGGCTAAGGACAGCAACATGCATTCCACCGCAAACATTCAGCAGTGAAACACACACTGGATTTTAGTGCCACACAAAAAACTATCGAGAGAATCTTTAATAAATTTCGTAACAAAATGTCCATCCAAGTGTCGGAAATGTCTAAGACTTATCAATACCGCAAAGTGATGAAGCCAATGCTGGAGCGTAAGCGGCGCGCACGCATCAATAAGTGTCTCGATGAGCTGAAGGATTTAATGGTCGTCACCTTGGAGTCGGAGGGCGAACATGTGACCCGGCTGGAGAAGGCCGATATACTTGAGTTGACCGTGTCACATTTGCAGAAATTGAAGCAACAACGCAAGGCTGCCGCCTCTAAGGGTGGCGCTATGTCACAAGCTGAAGGCTTCCGTTCCGGTTATATACATGCCGTTAACGAGGTATCACGCTCACTCTCTCAGCTACCCGATGTGAATGTGCATCTTGGCACACAACTAATGACACATCTTGGCCAGCGTTTGAATCAATTGCAACCCGCCGTACAGCCACCAACACCCATCAACGCACCACTATCAGTACACATTACTGGCAGCGCCAGCCGCGCACACTACTCCGTGCCCATTTCGCCCGTATCCAGCTACAATGGCAGTCCCAATTCGAGCGTCTGCAGTGAGAAGCTTAGCAACAGTTGTATGAGCCAAAGTCTACTGACCACCTACAGTGAGCATTCGCCTATCGATGCACGCGTCGCTACCAATGTAGAACAAGCTGAGGAGGAGGATGTCTGGCGTCCATGGTAGGCTGTTGAAAGCCAAGCCAAGTCTAGCAGCGCCCGCATAATTTCTTAATATAAAACAATTTTATACTCAGTGATAAAGTCTTCCAGATGTGCAGCCCCTAGCCGGAATCTGCCGTCAATTACCGTTAAATATAAAGCTTTAAAGTAGAGAAGAGGCATTTGTTATTGGCCACGTTTGCAACGCCATTAACGAATCTAATTCATCGATGTGATTACCACACAATTGTTAAACATTGTCATTAAGTTTATTACATTATAGTTGAATTAGAGAAAATTTTTTAAAAATTTAGCTTAAGTAAATTTTAAAAATATACAATAATAAGAAATGAAGAAACATAAATTTTTGTTTTTAACTTTAGGCAACTTCACTTTCAGGAAAACAGCTAACTGGCAATTAGCCTTCAGCTTTAAAGGAACTGCTGATATTCCCTAACCGAATAGTTGGTTTTTTTTTAAATTTCAAAAACTTTACCACTATGGAAAGCAACTTAATAAGTCGTTCATGGATGTCTGACATGATGTGGAAACTCAAAAGGGTACGGAGGACTGCCATAAAAGCGCAGTACTGAGTATTTATTTTATTAACTTGAAGGTTGGCCATGAATGGCTGGTGAGCTTCAGTGTCACTACACACGACACAGTGTCAGTTGTATAAACTGCTTGGAAGAAGATGCGATAGAATCATCTCAACACTTCCTTTTCGAATGTCCCGTCTTTGCAAGTTCAATGCTAAAATATATCGGTGAAATAGCGGGTATGGGAATAAAGCACCTAAGTAGATTTGTAATTGATTCGTTGCGATTTGTCGAAATTTTATATCTAACTACAGGAATTTTTATCTGGCTTTACAAATGACTGAACGTAGCAGTCTAAGTGCGATCCCCCGTCATCTTGGGGCTCAGCCATCTAAGCTAACCTAATCTAAGATCGGCTATTGGATAAAAAGTGTTAAAGTTCGACCATTCCTAATTAAAAATGGTTTGTTGGAAATACCGCCGCGGTCGGCGATAAAATTAGAAATAGCTCTATCTCAAAAGTCGTCATGGTGGGCGAGATTCGCCGCCGTTGCGTGTTGTGTTCATCTTCATATACAATCGTGTGCTCTTGTCACCGACGTCGTCGCCGAGTACGACGAATATTCGTCCTCGCCCGTATTGTGTATAAGCCATTAAGTCTCTTTTTGTGTTTTGTGTGCGTAAAATCATTCGCAAGAGGTGATGCTTTAATAAAATCTTGACAGAATGCAGAGACGTGTATTTCTCAAATTTGAATCGAAGGTACCTCAGATGTCTTAACGTTTTTGAGGTTCTATGGTAAGCGACTACCACTATTACTTTGAGCAGTGGCAAGCTTTCGGCTTGAGGCAATTATAATTGGCTCTTCCATACATAGGGTATTTTGGCGAATTGTATGCCCCAGTTAATCAATTATTTCCGCATCGAACGAATTATTGGTGCTCTGTGATCGCAGACAAATCCTCCCGGGTTCAGAGAGGGCTCAGTGTTCTGCAACAATTTTTGGCAGATTTTTTTTCTCTAATAATTCACTATAATCATTCGAGGGCAATAGCTGTCATTCAAACTGAACCAAGGACTGTTAGCTCATTAGTATATCCCCAATAATATTTGTATAATATTTTTTGTATTACAATAACAATAACTAGATCAGAGTTCTTTTATTATGTGTGCATGTATTTAGTTTGTACCTTACTATTTCAGCGAAACCCATACAAATTACTTAAATCTTATGATAATTACAAGAATTACCGGATATTACGCTTTACTTCGGAAACGCCAAAGAGATCGCATAAACTGTGTCTAAATTTCCTAGCATTTAATGGAATATATTCAGTTATATAAAAATTACAAAATCAAAAGATGACACTCATACACACATATACAAGTATACACATACAAACCTCAATAAAATTACATATACAATAATGTTCAATCAAAACTTGTTGTATCATTACACACAATAGTGCCTGTGTGCATATGATACCTGTCTTCATGAAATATACCTATTCTTCTCCAATTATAATAAAGAAATAACAATCAAAAGCGATACCTGCCATTTCCTGCACGTCAATCAAATCAAATCCTTTTTATACGGCGGTACACCTCAATAATTTGGAACACCAACCAATACAGGTAGTCAGTTGCTCTAGTGTGGGTAGTGTAGAAAAAGTAAATAAGTGTATAATATAAGTGTTGCAACCCCCTAATTTTCTACCAAACTACGCATTTCACTTTCTTTAGCGATTCGCTGCCTTTTATTGTACCCATATTCATATGTACTTGTCTGTTTTCCGCAGCTCCTTTTTATTGAGTTTCTAATTAAAAATAATACTCTTTTTTGAATGCATTAGAAACATGGCGATGTAATTTGCTTTATTTGCTATGGTCAGCATCGAGCTCGAAGGGCACTACAAAGAAGTGTGTTTGAGCGAGATTTAGAGCCTTTGAAATTTAATGAATTTGTACCCATTGCACTAATCTGTAAGGTTTAATGTTAAGGTGGATGTAACAGTGGTTTGACATAGCAAAATAATAAATTATGCAGTAAACCCGCGGTCATGGTTCCGAGAACCGATAAAGGTAACAACCACGTTTCCTCTACCAAACCTATATCTAGTTTTAATTATTTCACGAAAAATCTTAACCCTTTAATAATCACTACGGGTCATTTTTTCCCTAACCGCCAATCCGAACTCTAGTTTTGGCTGTGTCTATATGTCACTTTTTCTATGAAAACGATAAATGGAGTAAAAATTCAACGAATTACAATGATGGTCTTGATTGTTAATATATGAAAGAAAGAATACATTTTGAAAAATTGTTATTTATATATATTATTGGAGTCCGGGATTTTCAACCAAATTAAAAAAACGTCAAAAATGGGTAAACTTAAAATATAAGGGGTTTGCAGAAACCAAAACGATAGATTTCCGCGGAAACGTAAGATGCATAACCTACAAAATATTTTTTTATAGTGCATAGTTTATTAAGAAAGAGGCAAAACGAGCAAACAACTGCACGAAAATGCAACTGGTATGCATGAAATATATTGCATAACAAACGTTTGTTAATCAATGACACTCGATAAAAGAACCGACTAAAGCAAGTAGACAAGTGAATCGAAGATGACTACTTGAAATTTATATCGGCGATATACATTATCCATCGAGTTTCGAAGAATATCTTGGAGTCTTCTGATACCCAGCTAAAGGTAAGGTAAGGTAACTCTATAGTAATGGGTCTACCAATAAGAACGACGTGATATTAAAATTAAATAAAACACTCAAATTTGGCCAAAAAACAAAATTTTTTTTTTGTTATGCAGATATTTTCTACCATTTATGATTTGTTCGAAATGCCGGCCAAATGGTCACCATGGCTCTGTTTGCATATCTCTACCCGTTTACGCCAATTTATACTGCGCTAATGTTGTCTTCGAGCTCCTCGCCAATGCATAATGATTGGCGTAAGCCTTCGGGTTGCAAATTAACGCCAAACTTTACACGCAATATTTCCATGTTCAGACGTAAAACATGAGGCGGCGCACTTATTGAAAATAGAGATCGTTCGCGTCGTTTGCATCAAAATTTCGAGAGAAAAAATGTTGGTCAACATGATGTTATAACGCTCGCTATTGATGGTAACGGCATATCCTACCTCTTTGGAAAAAAATTAAGCCTGATAATGCCACCATACCATCCGTTCAAACGGATACGCCTATCCGCATCAAACGGTAACTTTTTGGGGCTGAATTGCATTTCATGAACCACACGAGAATTTGACTTACCCCAGCAGTGACAATTGTATTTATTGATGCTGCCATTAAGCCAGAAATGGTCCTCATCTGAGAAGATGATTTTTCGATAAACGTAAAATTAGACAATTTCCAAGGGTTGTACCGAAGCGTGAAACTTGACTAGATGTATGGCAAATCTTACTGAACACACTGACAAAATTTGACACAAATCTGTAAACAAATATGGCCGCCACGATCTGTCAAAATCACGTCTTCTCTGTTGGTAAACGCGTAATATTGAAGATTTGAACTTCATCTGGATGAAGTCTCATGAAAATGAACTAGGGTAAAACGAAGATTTTTGAAAGAAATTGTGAGAAATGACCGAGTCCGATCAGCTGGTTAATGGTGTGTTCAGAAAATAGTAGTGTACATAAGGCCATATTAGTAATAGGAATGCTACAGCTAGTAACAAATTGAGATGATTAGCTTTTTTGTCAGAATCGGCCCTTACATCACAGCCCAGATTAAACTAGTTGATGAAAAGTAAATTTTTGCAAACTAGTGAAGAACTAAGAGCAATATGACTAAGATACACCTAGTGTTGCGAACTATCGTCCACATATGATAGTCTAGGAACCAGTGGTATGCTACTGTGTACTCAGTCCAAATAGTTTGAAACTGTAGCTAAGGCATTGAGTGTGTACAGCTACTCAGTAAATTTATTGCTATAATATTTTCGGCTCGCTCTTAGCCCCACCTTATTCACATTTATATCTTTTCTTCGGTAAGATCGGCTAACAAAGGACAAGCCTAAATTACAATTCATAGCTGTGATTAATAGAGGTGGTGCATGTAGAATTGAAAATTCGGGTTTTCTGACCGAATAGCTACTTTTTTTTATGTCGAAAACAAAAAATACAAAATCCAATAAAAAAACAGTAAATGCTGGCAGTGATGACCAGTCAGAAAAAAGCAGCCGCAAATCCTGCTGATAATTTGAACACGTGTGCACACAATTAAATCTTTTTTATATACACGTAGTTATTGTTGTTTAATTTCGATTTTTTTTTCACTATGCGTTTTGTAATAATTTCTTAAGGTTACAAAATTGTAGCACAAGCAACAACAGAAAAGGAATAATCATGCAGGACGTCGTCATCAACGCCGCCTTCGGCTGTGTAGCTATTTGAAGAGCCACAGCGTTGAAGACAAAGGCGTAGAGAGCACAAGACATAAAGGGCCATGCGCCGTGAGGGGGAAAGAACAAATACATGCAATGGAGATTACCACACATACACTCATACAAACAGATATGTGCATAAAAATTCATAAGATAAGATCAGCGTGCCTAATCAGTTTATTGTGGGCATTTGTATGAGTTTGTGTGTGCTAGTGCGAGTTTGTGACCCCTGACTGGACAACGTACAACCCAAAGTAAACACGAACTAAGGACCACAACATACAGACTATTACAAATACTAACATACAATAAATGCATAATACAATTATATAAAACAATACAACAATGGCAGCGGAGCGATGAATAGCCGTGGATTGTGTAAAACCAGAAATC